TTATGGACAAGATTTTTAAGCTCCATGGATTCCCTGCTTCTATTACTAGTGACAGAGATCCCATCTTTATTAGCTGTTTTTGGAAGGAATTCCTCACTACTCAGGGTGTCACTTTGAATACTTCTACTGCCTTCCACCCACAAACTGATGGCCAGAGAATGCAGTCCCAGGCCAATGCTCATAGGTCTGACAAATATTTCCAAGCAGGTGACTGGGTCTATGTGAAGCTTCAGCCCTATCAACAATCTTCCTTGTCCACCTTCCCTTACCATAAATTGACATCTCGCTACTTTGACCAATATCCAATTGTTGAAAAGATTGGTGTTGTTGCCTACAAGTTGCTTCTGCCTCCTGAAGTTCTGATCCATCCTACTTTTCACATCTCCCAGCTTAAATTTTGTCATGAGATACCTGCTGAGATAGTGCATCCTCCGGCGATTGATTTGGCCAGTCGTTTTTGCCCCCCTCCTTAGCAAGTCCTTGAGAGGAGGTTGATAAAGAAAGGCAATAAGGTTGTTGCCCAGTACCTTGTGAAATGGACAGGTTTGGATGCATCCTATGCCACTTGAGAGCTCGCGTCTGCACTTAAGGCTCGCTTTCCTTCCTTCACCCTTGAGGACAAGGGTGTTCTTCAACCAGGGGGGTATTGATACACAAATTGGCAATTAGGATTTTGAAAGTTAGTTAAATGTTTTGGCGGAAAAAAGGGTTATCACTTGAGTCACACTTTTTTACATTTCAACATTTACCTTTTGCATTTTCTTTAGCATGTTTTAGTCTTATAAATAGCAAGCATTCAAAATGTAAACCATTCAGAATATTATATTGGATCTGAGCTCTTTTTTCCCTCCTCTCTCTCAATTCTGCCTCTCTCTTCTTATTTCTTATGTTCTTCTCTTATTTTTATTTTGCTCGATTACACTGTTACATTGGCTTGGTACCTAGATTTTGGTATCAGAAGGTGCTGTTTCATTTATTAAGTTTGAGATAAAACCAATTGAAATGTGTTAAGGAGAAGATGAACCATGTCTGCTAACCGAGATTGAAAAATAAAGTTTGGACTTAGGGAGAAGAACTTGGGCCGTTGGGAGGACCTTGAATTAAGAGGCTTCGGGGGCTGTTTGATACTACACTTAGTTTGGGCCAAAAATAAATCTTGTCAAGCCCAATAGCATCACAATCATACACCCTTTCCCACAAATTCATTCCATAGTTCGCATGTCTTACAACAATCTCAAAATTAGGAGGAATAACTTGCAATTGCTAGTATGCTCTTAGGCATGTTATAATAAATTTCATAGTTATGGGTACGGTTCTCGCGACATATCTATGATACGTAAATCCAAAGTTCAAGTGCGCGTTCAATCATGTGACTTGACCAATCAACTTCAAATAACAATAATAAACATATTGTAAATCGCGGGTGCGTTTCACGTTGCGTGATTTGCAATGTGAATAAAACAAACAAGTTTACGTCGTAACTTGTTTTTGAAATAAATCCATAAATAATCGAAATTAGTTAAAATAAAATCAAAAGCGGTAAAAGGTAAAATGCACAATAGGTCTAAAACATGTAAGAATAAGATAACTAAGTCGAGTTTAACTGTAAAGCGACCGTGCTAAAATCACGGAATTCGGAAGTGCCTAATACCTTCTCCTGGGTTAACAAAATTCCTTACTCGGTCTTATGGTTTCGCATACTTTAACATAGTCAAAATTTTCTTGATTTGGGATTTCAAATAAATGGTGTCTTGGAACACCTTATTAATTATTCCAAGTTGCGACTCTTAAAATTAAAATAAATAATCTCTTTTCAATAATATAACTTTAATTGAAAAAACTCCTTTCTGAAAAAAGGAGGTGTGACAATAATAACTCTTTGTTGTTCTCTCAAAATTTTGACCGTTTCAACAACATGTTCATCATCCGCATCATCAAGAGTTGGAATCCTCATATGTCGAGGATTCTAACCTTCGCGAACCGGAGTTGTTTCATCTCCTTCATTACGGGTTTCGCTGGTTGAATCATCACGATGGAACACATTTTCACGTTCATTGTGTGCTCCAACATTGTAGACATTATTGACATCGTTAGTTGCCATATCTGATTTTTCTTTTGCTAAGCAAGGAATCAAAATTTGTTAGTAACATATGAATGGATCAAAGCAATTACACAATTTTCTATGTCCCACAGTGGGCGCCAAACTGTTTACCCGTAAAACGGTACAGTTAAATTTATAGCGTGACTTATAGATACGCGAATTAATTTAATACAACAATATGAAATAAACGAGAATGAAATCAAGAATGTAAAGATAACTTAAAAGAAATACAAGCCTGCTGGTATGATAAGCTTCACTGGAAATAGTAGTATGAACGGTATCAAGTACAAAAGAAGGTAAGTAATTTTATTATTTGAAAGCAGAATGTAGCTTTTGTGTACAGAATGTTTCATGTCTACAATAGATGTTAATTCTCCTATTTATAGCTTTATTTAGGGAGACAAGATTCCCAAATCAAGCTTTTCTTGAATGCGAATAAAACTGTCATTGATGATTGCATAACAGTTGGCTATAAATCCAGATATTCATTGTAACAGCTGCTCATTGAATGCTACCCAATGTCAATACTTTGAATCTTTGTTATCGACTACTCTGTCTTCAGGATTCAATGATTCATCTAGCACTGGCCACATGCTTGCAACCAATATTGACTATTTTCCGACTAACATCCTACCTGTCTTCAGCTCCGCATGTCACCTCTTAATTCGTACAACAATCACTAACCAATTTTACCGCATACACATCTCCAATTCCACTTTTATCGATTCTAATTGCTTGTGAATAGATAAAATACTCAATGAAGCCTTTTCCTTTCTCAATGCGTTCATGAAACAAAGAATGAAAGATGATGGGATACTAATAGTTTTCTCTGGTGTACCTTGTAATCCTCATGCTTCTCAAAGAACATTTTCAACAAAGAATCCACGGAAAGGAGCAATACCAGTTCCAGTGGCAAGCTGCAAGATGAAAAGATCTCAAAGTCTAATTATACTATGCTTAACCATTTTGAAGGGGAGCAAAGTGCTCTGATAGTGACAACAAAGGAGCTAGCACCGGGCAATATTTACCATTATAACAGTAGCATTGGGATCCTTTGGCACTGAAATATTAACATTTGAAAGTAAGTGCATGGCTATAAGCATATATATCGTATGTTCGTTAAGAAATGTTCAGTTGAACTCTGGTCTATATATGCTGGAAAATCGAGCGATCTCTCTTTAATTTACTCTTTGGAGTAAAGATCAAATAAACAAGACCAATGCAGCTAAACATTGTTTAAGGTTTAGGGAGTCCTTGATTCTAACATAAGAAGTTGGAGCAGACTCCTTTAACTATTTCCCCTTTGTCATTGGTGTAGACAAGCCTTCTGACACACAGAAAAACCTGTATGAAACCTCTAGTTAACTCATATACTAGAAGAAGGAAAAAAACCAAGCTAACTGAACTATGTTACTGACTTTCAAATACTTGACCTATGTGCTGAGAATGACCTGTATAATCAACGGCAGAGATATATTTCTGACGTGTAATTTACATATCTTGACACATGTCATAGCACATCGCCTGAATTATTTGTAACTTTAAACAATTCGCACGTAGTTTAGTTACTTTGATGTGAGAAAAAATTATTTTATAAGTTTATCCATCAGATAACTTTTTAAACACTTGTTATTAACATCTGGAGGCAAAATAATATTTGACCCTTCATCTTATAATAGCAAGATCAGCCCCATTATTTGGAAGAAACCAAATTCAGTAGACACGCAATGCTGCAATTATTTAGTTTACATGGTGTAGAGTAAAGATGGTGGACACATGACTCTGAGACCTGTTAAATTCACAAATATTGGCATCTGGAACAGTTGGAAGTCATATGAAAAATATAGTTCTGAAAGTATTTTGTAAGATAGATAGAATATTTTTGACAAAGATGTCACTTCTGAATATACCCTCACCCTGTTCCTTCAATAATATCAGGTGCTGAAATAATTTCCCAATTCTATGTGTTGGTTGCATAAAATCTATATAGTCTAAATTCTGAATATCAAGGTCCCCCAAAGGAAAGTTTTGAAACGATGCACACGTCTGATTTAAATACCGTTTGGGCATGAAATATACTAGTTTGGCTATAAGTATTTGCAAATACTGAACTGAATTTCAAATAAGATATTGATATACTGGTTCGAAGGTGCATTCAAAGTGAAATATTGGTTTTTCACTCGCAAATCTTAATAGGCGTCTGGACAACACCCGATTTGAAGTTGAAAAAAGAGTAACTGAAGTTAGAAATTGAAAAAAAGGAAATTTGTAAGCGCAGTTATGTTTAGACATGGACTTCACTTGGAAATTTATTAAAATGCTGGATAATTCATGCCTGTATAGGAAGTCCATCTTTTGGAATGAGCATGTGTTTAAATCACTGTAATCGTTATATATATAAAATTTCTTGAAATGATCTTGATGGGAAGGTTTTCCATAACAAACGAAGAGAGTTGCCTATCTGGTCTCATGGACAACCAGTTAGTAAGAAATTATTCAACATCCGAGTTTTCGGTTGCAAATTCAGTTGTGAAAGCTGGCTTTACTTCTCTACAGAATATGGAGCCATCTACCTATTAAAGAACGAGGAAATGGTCTTCGATGCCCACTTACAATTTGAATAGAAGAAAATGACCCTGCACTGCAAAGATTTCTCGTATTTAAAGAACAACTATATTTACAAAAGCCAGCTTGGAAACTTCCCTTCTCCTGTATATATACTTGCACATTTAGTAAGCTTCAACCAGTCTTGACCAATACAGAAACCACTAAAGTATGATACTCCTTCGCCGAGAAGATTATTTACAATTTCTTGTTGAAATTTCATATGGTGAATTTCAGCAACTCTTATGAAAAAAGAGTGAATACCCTTAAACAGAATGAAAGGAAACCCACAAAGCCGGAGAAAATGATTATTCATATATTGCAAGAGTAACAGATTCTGTATCCTAGTCCTACGTACAATAATACAGCTTACAACAACAATTACTACGGCTACGCCTCAGTCCCAAACGAGTTGGGGATTCCAACGGAGCAGAGGGGATTCCTGAGGTCTTCTTAAACAAAATTTTTGCAGGAAAAAAAATTGATTTTATATACACTCCATGACCATAGGAAATAGGAAGAAATTTAAAAACAAGAAACATAATATCTCATCTAACAACATGCAAATTATGCACATCAAGTCACAGATGCAATCAATGGAATCCCCTTGATCCTCTGGATTGATAGAGTTCAAGCCTGCTTTTGGATTCCTGCAACAATGCCTCCACCTTTTCATCTTGGTTCAAGTATGCCTGCTTCGACGCCCATTCTAGCACTGAAAGCACCTCGGATTGAGCTAGCTCATCGCTATCAGGGACGTGCAATGCAATGTAACATAGCAGAAGTAATGCAGAATTCTGAACTATTTTTTCACCAAGGAAAACAAGTTGAATCAAATGCTTTGCCCCTCCCATGCTTATGATCGCTTTGCAATGATCCATGTGAAGGTAGTTATCATTGCATGCAAATTTTGCGAGTGCAGTGGCTGCTTCGTTTGAAATCTCTGCTTCTCGTTCATCGAGCAGCTTTACTAATGGGCTAATCATCCTCGTCTCAGTAGCTCGAAAAGTCCTAGCCAAATTCCCAATAGCTCTAATGCACGGAATAAGCAGATTTAAGTCTTCTTTTTCGATGATTCTCACCAGTTGATCAACAAGAGCTTTGCAAGGGGGCGAATTAGGCTTGAATGCTGACTTTCTCAAATCAGAATCTTTCTCCGCCACAGCTGTGATTTCCATTACTGCCATAGCTGAATTGTACTGAGTATCTTCAGTCCCTTTCTCTAACAGTACTGCAAAGCAAAGCAGTGCTCTTGATTCAGTAATGCTACGGCAAATAGATGAATTTCCCTTGGCAAGTTTCCATAGAGCTCTTGCAGCCATTGCCTTCATATAATCCTTAGTAGCAGACTCCTCGAGCTCTCGCCCTTTACTACTTACCCCTGTAGAAGAAACACTATGCTGATGGTGATGGTTTACATCATCATTATTATCATTCACCTTGTGCACACTAGTCACATTACCCTTTTTATTATTACTAGCAAAAACGACAGCATGAATCGACGTGGCTTTGCTAGCAATAGCATACTTGCTATGCTCCGGGACTGTCTCAAAGGCGAGATGGCTAACAAGTAATCTAATTATATTATGCTGATGAAAGAGATCCTGACATTTTGGGTAATGCGCAGAAAGTTTAGAAACTGCCCAAGCCACTACTGCCTGAACTTTCATTGGACTTTCTTTGAGGATTTTCACAAACACTGAGCATACACCAAGATGCACCATGTGTTCGACGCTTTCAGTGTCACGTCCTAATAATCCAATTGCCTTTGCAGCATTCTCCTGACCTTCCAATTTTCCTTCTTTCAACAATTTCAACAATGGTCCAACTCCACCTTCTTCAACGATCAATTTTCCATTCCGGTGATTGTCCTTAGCTAGTGAAATCAATGATGCAGCAGCTTCAGATCGATCATTGACCGAACCAGTATACAAAATCGCTATGTGTTCCCAAATAAAGCACAATATAGGCTCACTAGCGGCAATAGGAGGAAGGCCCAAGTACTCATCTCCGCTTTCTGTGGAGGAGACACGGAGGAGCCACGAAACATTACCAATGGAATTCTCTAGCTGTGAAGACAGGTTGCGGAAAGATGCTGAGGGGATGATGGTAAATACGCGCTGTATTAATCCCTGAGCGCAACATTTGCTAACGATGGATATAGCCATTTCCAGGGCTTGTTCAGTGTCGTCAATAATACGCCTCGTGGGGCGTTGGTAGAGATCGTTGCTGGCTCGTGCTGCTTGACGGAGCAGCACGGCCAGCCTCTCTGTTTTGGACTTGAGCTCAGCACATTCTTGCTTGAATGAAGTTGCCATATCAGCTGCCTGAGTCACTTGATCTGCCAATTGTATTGGCTTTGCCAGGATTTGCTTCACTATATCCGCCATCAACTGGAATTTCCGTTTAACTAGTGTGCAGTGGTGAGACCAGGAATTCTAATAAGGGGGTTAGGATACGCAATAATATCACACCTGAGATTTGAACCTATGTTGCAAAGCACAATTGTCGAACCACTTTGTCACTACACTGAAATCTTTTCTTATTCCAAGGGAATTCGACAATTTGGATATATTCAATTAAATCCTCTTGGCCTCATGTAGCTCGGCCACTGTGTCTAAGAGTAAGCAAGTTACCTTTATTCAACAGATTGGTGGTTGAGTCAATAACATGCTCTACTCTGGGAGTCTGGGTTGGAAATCTTTGCTCTTCTCTTTTGCAAAATTGCAGGACTCTTCTCACTTGAGGATAAAACCCAACCAAGAAGTGATCCAAATTCAATGCCTAAAAAAAGTTGTGACAAAGTAGATCTTTGATGTGAATTTTGTTTTGCTCTACTATCAAATGAACAAAGAGATCAAGATTGTAGGGAGAGAAACAAAGAAGGCTTTGACTTGGGTTTTGTGAGTATAGTATATAGTAGCAGTTAGCAGAGGTTTAACAATGGAAGAGTTGGTTTTTGGTGACTGACTTTCAAAGTCAATTGGTTAATTAAATAATATCGGCTTGTGGTCTTACGTTCTACTAATTTGTTATTCTGATTCTACTCGATACAACTATCAGTTTGATTTTTCTTGGTCTTAAAATTTATTTATTTTGTTTAGTATTTCCTAATGAGTAGAGATTAATAATTTTATCATCCGAGTTGTTGTCATCCTAACTACCTCTCAGACATGGCCCCACGCTACAAGACAAGAAGAGAGAACCTTTATCATTGCGGACGTACCTCTTTGCCCATATATCAGTGGTTTCGAAATATTTTAAGTTTTAAAAAATAAAAAATGATTTATTGCTTTTTTGAATAATAAATTGCCGTGACTGTTAATTTATGAAGTGTTAATTAAGTAACATATAGTTAAGAGAAATAAAGGAGTGTTTACACAAATATTATCGTGATTCGGACTATTAAAATATTTTTTTTAAGGGACGTGTAACATCTTAAAATGATAAAAAAATATGAATATGATAAGATTTTAAATATGGGTGTTCAAAATATTATTGTATGAGTTACTCCATCCGTCCCAATCTTTTTGACGAGTTTGATTGGACACATAGTTTAGATTTTTTTTTTTGAAACTTATGGTTTAGAATATGCCATAAATATTTTTGTCGGTATAAATTATCATTAAGGGTAAAATAAAGAGTTTAAATGCAAATTATTATTAAATATATAAAGGTATCATTCTGTTCCGAAAAAAATTAAAAAGGAAAGAGTGTCACAAAAATAAAGTAATATTGGAGCTTCAACCCATTTACAAGTTTCATGAACTTTTTAACATAGAGAGTTTTTCTTATATATACTATAATAAAAACTTATATATCTATTTTCTTTAACTTTCATAGTTTTCAATAAGTATCTAGATTTTTCTTACAAAATGTATATATTCCCCTTATAAGACTCTCACCCCATTATTATTACCTTCAATTAAGGGACTCAATTAAATTCTTTCCTTTTTTTTTTCCATCTCCACTCCCCTCTCCTTTTTTTTTTCCTTTCCCTAATTTCTTCAGTTTGTTTGCCTAACATACTCATCCACAAATTGGTCCATTCGAAGACCAAAAATACATATGATTCTCGAACATACATACATACAATTTCGGGTATTAAGATTTTGTGATTTGTTTGGATTGGATGTTCTTGCAAGTGATTGAGAATATCCTTTGGAGTTTATATCTCAATTTTGAGGGAGATTGTTAAGTATAGAGTTGGTTTTCGGTGAAAATTCAGATTGAAACTCGAAGAAGAAGAAGTTGTAGGAATTGTATGATAATATATATCATAATTGTATCTGATACATCAATACCTAAAATATAATTGTATCATAAATGTATCATACTTGTATCACAATTGTATCTAACTTGTATTTGATACATTAATACCTAAAATAATACATTATACAATACTAACACAATTCTCATACATTTGTGATGCAAACTGCGACACATTTCTAAAAAAAATGTGATATTCATCTTCTTCAAGTTTCAATCACAATTCTAAACTTAAAATCTGATACAATATTTTATTATAATTGTATTAGTATTGTATCAGATATTATTTTAGGTATTAATGTACCAGATACAAATAACATACAATTTTAATACAATTGTGACACAATTCTAAAACAATTGTGACATATTTATCATACAATTATCATATAATTCCTGCAACTTGGTTTTACGTAAATTTTCAATCTTAAATTTTACGTAAAACTAATTCTAAGCTTAACCAATTTTTCTCAAAATTGAGATATAAATTACAAGGTATATTCTCCACCATTTGCAAGAACACTCAATCCAAACAACTCACAAATTCGTAAAATTTGAATATTGAATTTAAAGTTTTGAAATTTTTTAATAGATGTCGATGGAGAACCCTTTGCTGCTGCAATTTTTGAGACAGTTTTTGCCATTTTCATTTACAGTGTGAGAGAAATACCGATTTTGGATGATAAGTATGAGGGAGAGAGAATGAGATATGAAATATTTTAAAAAATAGATGAAATTCGAATTTTTAGGAGGGGGTTGAGAAGGAGAGAGAATGAGATGCTAAATTTAAGGAATCTTCTATTTTCTTCTGTTTTATAGTTTTGTACATAAATGTTAATATAGATATATAATGTATTATATACGAACCTAAATAAAAGTGGTAAGTAAGTTTCTATTATAGTATAACTAAGTGAATTTCCCTTTTAACATTCATACTCTCACGGTCCCAAATATTAGTTGTTTTTATAAATTAAATTTATTTAAAAACATTTGACATTTTATAGTAAAGAAGAAGCATTTATTATTTTTTAAGACCCACCCTTACTGCTCAAATTGGTGAAATATTAATTAAGTGAGACATTTTAAACATGAGATAAACGGTATTTCAAACAAATACTCTTAAGGTTAAGTTAAGTTGCTAATATCTTTTTCAAAAGGTTTGAATTTTTTTTATAAAAGACAAATAATATAAACATTATTAGGGTCATTCACTCCTTTTAAATTTATTTTTAACTGAATGTCAAAAGTTAATATTTACCTTGAAATTTAACGATAACAAAAAAAAAAGTTAGGAAAATTACTAGTTATGTTCATTTATAAGCAGCTTATTATAAAAATTGGCCAATTCTTAAAATATTACTAATATTAGCCAATTAGCTACTTGTAGCCAAAAAGATAAAAAATTTACTTTCTTTTGAGCGGGTGTTATTAGAATAGATTGGATACATCTTAAGAAGCTTGAATCTCAGTTTTGAGATGATTTGGTGGAGTTTTGAGGTGGTTTGAATTGAGAATTCGAAGTAGAAGATGAACATGAAAAAAAATAATATGTGTATCATACCGTATATCACTTGTGCATAACATATGTATCATATTTGTATCAAATATGTATTACACGTATATCCATGTATACCTGTGTGTGAGATATATGAGTGATACATGTGTCGCAGAAGAATTTTTTGAACTCGATTTTAACTACGAATTTTGATACCAAATCACCTCCATTGTTTCTCAAATTTTGTTTGACTCATCTATATGTTTTCAATGAATCTCAACCATATCCATTGAAAAATGTCACTTTTGCTTAGATTTTTGGAATCTTGTATATATATATTTTTGTATTTCATCACTTTATTTGCTACCCCATCTATGGAATTTTCTTTCCGTCTTGCATCTAATATTGCTAATCACGCTTAAAAATATGGAAGGATATCTTTTGCGTGTGATTCTTGGAGAGAAAGAACCTTATTTATTTGAATTTTCAATTTTTATATGTGCTTGGCTAGTTTTGGTAAGTTAATGATTAATGGTCAGAGGTCGGTAAAATAAGAATTATTTGGGACATTTAGGTAGGATTCCCAAAAAATTATTTTCACATCCATTTTATTGGAGAGAGAGATTGGGCCACAGCAACATCTCATGTGATAGGCCATAGATTAAAGTCATTTGCGAAGGTATATACTTTTCGCGAAGAAACTTATAAAAAAAAATGATTGTGTAGAATTTTGTTTCCAATATATTTTTAACCACTTATACTATGGCATGCATCTTTTCTATATTCGTGAAGCACACTAGTTAGTTACAATAGGCAAATTAAAGTTTACAAGTATAGGTCGTATTGGATTTGAAATGCCTTAATAATTTTAAAATTCTCTTTTATGATCAGTGTATGAAAGCTAGTCCAACGTGAATGTAACGAAGCGAATATAAAAATCAATAGGAGTAAAGTATCTAGTTGACTCTGTGGCCCAATGGATAAGGCGCTGGTCTACGGAACCAGAGATTCTGGGTTCGATCCCCAGCAGAGTCGCTCTTTCTTTTTAAGATTTTTCTATATCATTTTTTGGTATTTTAGAGTTAACTACGGAAAAAACTTCCAAAATTCGTAAATATCCAGTGCTTTACCACACCTCTCGCTGAGCAAATTGAACTAAGATTTTTTGCACTAATTCAGGTTGCAAATCGGGGTTCTGGAATTAATTTTCTGCATTTTATTTTCGTGTGGAACAACATATAAAGTACACAAGGAGAAAACATGCATACAAGTCACCTACCCTGCCATTCTATCTTTCTTCTTTTGTGTAAAGATAAAGAAACTAAATATTTATTTTCAAAATGGAAAGAGTAGTAATAAATGCTCTATAAATTTAAACCAGATCAAGTGTGTATGGGATTGCTGAGGGTATCCATTCATCTCCATGAAGAAAGTTTCGAACTGTAAAATTAGAAGCTTCAGAGTCAGAAATATATTGTCTTTCCCAGTTTACTCTTTGACTTGTGTCAGCTCCTGGCCCTCTATTATTATACTCAGCAAAATATATATCTGAGGGTTTTCCATTCCATAGAGTCCAACCTTCAGGATCTATAAATTCATCTAAATAACTTGACATGACGATCGTTCGAGAGTAATTTTTCCACGGTCTTCCAAGGTAGACTCGTACCTGTTGAGACATAATATTATTACATAATTAAGTAGGTATTTGAAAAGTGAGCTCGTTGTAAAGATTTAAAATTTTAGATGGGGTGGTAACACAATTCAATATTACCTTTGGTTCATGTTCGCGCAAATCTTGTGTGACGTTTATTGTGCAACCTTGAAGGACTATAGCAGTAGTTTCATTTTTGTGTTTTCTTCCTTGGGCAGTTATTGTCACTTCATGTTGATAATCTTCAGGTTTTCTTGCATAGATATTGCAATCTTGTAGAATGACCTTAGCGTTACCAAATATGAAGTCAACAGTACCATAGACATCACAATTTTTAAAAAATTGGACACCTTTTCTTGTGTAAAGTGTATCTTGATACCCATCGAACTTGCATCTATAGAATGCAACATGGTCAGCTTCAATACTCACTGCAACTGCTTGATGCAGAGATGGTCCAGCAGTGTTTTTGAATGTCATATCTTGTGCAACGAACCCGTAGCCATGTACATCTTTTGACAAAAAAATTAGAAGATTATTTGTATGATTTTTGAGAAAGTAACAAATAAGAAAAGAAGATTATTTATATGATCTTCATAATAATAATAATTTAAGAACTACATTAATGCATGCAGTATTAGGGTTGCTAAGCTCTTTGCTACTATTTATTGTCTGGATGTTTACTGTATAAGAATTTTTACATTGTATATAAAGTGAGATTAGTAATACGGGAAATAAGGTAATTTACTTATTATAATATGTTAAATTATACCGATAGTATTTTAACTTCTATACACATAGGCGGATGAAGCTTATGTATCAAACGTTTAACTAAATTCAGTATATTCGACATAACTTAAACATATACTAGTAGAAATCACTAAACTTGTAAGAAATATTAAATTTTAGTTTAATATTAAGAACGTTAAAGTTGAACCTATCAAGTTTAAATCCTGAATTCGTTTCTACCTATACACTGATAGTGTAAAAGAATCAAATTAGATGTAGCCAATCAGAAAAGGTAAAATTAGTAACTTGCAAAAATAAGACAGAGTTACGTGCTACAAAAGCTAAAAATATACTAACAATGTAAATTATTTTTTTAATATAGAAATGAGAGTGGTCATTAGACAACGTAACTGACCTACAGTTGCAGTCTCGTTAGTTTTGAAGCCTGTGCCATTGCTTTTAGATCCTGTTATAATCGAGAGGTCCACTCCATCACCAATGAATGTAATGTTAGTTTTATGTTTATCAACAAAAACATATTCATTATAGATGCCCTGTCTAATCTTGATATTGTATCTTGTTTTACTGTTATTAGGAGCTGCTTGTAATGCTTCTGTTATGGACTTGAAATCTCCACTTCCATCTATTGCAACTATGGCATCGAAATGAGAAGAAGAGTGGCTCTCTAAACCCCAGAATAATGTTGTTAATAAGGCAAATAAACCAAGTATCATCTCTTTTAGCTGCATAGTAGTAATATTTTGCTTCTCTGTCTAGTGGAATTCGGCTCTGTCCTTTATACAAAAGCACCAAAAAAAATTAACAATAATAAGAATAAAAGAAACAATATTCAAACAAAAATGGGAAAAAAGGAAATTTTGTTACACACATTACGTACCAAAAAGAAAAATAAATTAGGGACGGACAAATTAAGTCGATAACGACGGGCATTTAGCAACGTATTACCGATGGATCTGTAGCTAATAATTCTTGTTTTTTCTTAGTACTGTTAGGTCACTTAAAAAATTAATTATAAATAATTACTGATTATCTAAAATATAAAACTTAAAGTACAACAGATTAAATAATACGAATCAACATGTATAAGTTAAATCATAATTAAGAAAAAGAAACCATCAAACTTACCCAATGCCTCAGTTTAGTAAAGCAAAGTATAAAGTTGGCCTCGGAATTTTGAAACAATCTTCCTATCCAAAAAAACTGATACTAGTAGACAATTACATGCATTGAGTTACATATATATAAGGAGAAAAGTAACTCAACAATTAAATAACTATTCGAATTAATAACTGTTAGTATCACATCGTAAACGATGGTCCATTTTTCTTAGCAATCAATAAATATGAACTAATGTTAATTAATAGAGTTGCTAATTGAATTCCTATTTAATTTGGAAGTTTAACATATTTATGAAACTTGGCTAATTTTAAGTTTCATTTATATTCTGAACCATCAGTTACTCTACTGGAAAATGGAAACGGAAATTAAAATTTATATTGTTAGCTCTTCTTCTGGCCGAAGAGCTGGTAATTAGATTTAGATGTTGCATTTACTTGCACTTTAAGATAGTGCTTTTATGAAAGCCATACATGTATAAATAAAAATTAATTCATCTGCTTTATAAGGTGAGTAATTGACCTATGGCTTAAAATATTAATTTTGCTGTTTAGAACTTAAGTATGTTTTATTTCTGCACTTGGTCAGGAACTTGACATAAACTGATTGAGGAAATTGTAACTTTAGTAGCAATGAATTAGTGGATGCATGCATAACAGACGTCGTTTCTTTTTTCTTTTTTGCATTCATATACCTCATAGAAAGTTGAAAATCTAAGTTTTTTTATTCATCACTAATCGAATCTTTTAATCTTCTTCAATTTTCAATGACGTGGTCGTCAAATTCCCTTTTTTATTTTATTTTTTTAATCTCAGATATTTTTTATTTTGACTAGTGATAATCACTTTCTTTGTCTTCAAAATAATTGTCGACTAACACTTTAGGCTTAAGGTTGTGCATAATTTGGTAAATACCGAATTACCGTATCAAAATTAAAAAAAAAAATTGGTATTTGGTATTTGATTTCAATTTTAAAAAAATGGTATTATTAAGTGATTGAGATCACCATTGATGCAGAGAAGCTCGAGAGAGAAGGAAATGGAAATTTACAGTTCCATTGATTTTCAACTAGCTAAGAAGAGGAGTACACTCTCTAATATATATACATCTAACCAACTAATAATTCTTAACTTACAGCTGTCACCGCATAGTTGGACAACTGGTTAACTAACTAACTATCAACTAACTAACTACTTAACACCTTCCCTCAAGCTGATAGTTTGAAAATATCTTTCAACCCCAGCTTGGACATCAAGTGATCATGTTGTAGTTTTCCTAAACTCTTGGTGAGAAGATCAGCCTGCTGCTCTTTTGTAGGGACATGATGAGTTTTAACAGCATCTTGTATGATTTTTTTCACGTACAAAATGACAACCAATGTTTATGTGTTTAGTCCAATCTTTCAGCTGCAATTTGGATAGCAGCTTTGCTATCACAGAAGAGATCAACTGGGTGTAAGCCATGTTATCTCAGCAACTGTAGATGCCATGCTTTTAAATTCAGCCTCAGCAGAACTCTTTGCAACTGTATCTTGTTTCTTTGATTTCTATGAGATCAAAGCATTACTAAATTTCGCTAGGTAACCTATTATTGATTTTCTGGTCTGTAGACATCTTCCCCAGTCTGAATCACAGTAGGCTTCAAGCTTATCTGATCCTTCTGAAGGCATAAATAGACCAAGACCTGGAGAGGTTTTGATATACTTCACAACCCTCAAGGGCAGCTTCCCAATGAGACTGCTTAGGCTTGTGCATAAATTGACTTAGTACTTGCACCACAAATGCTATATCTACTCTGGTCATTATAAGATATAGCAGTTTCCCTACCAGTCTTGGATAAAACCTATATTATCAAACAACTTGTCTTCACAGTCAGGTAGACTTACATCAGTGTCATACTCAACTGAGGTGAGCTTCAAGTTTGTCTCAAGAGGTGTTCCAGTAGGTTTATCACATGCAAGTCCCTTTTTAGATATCAACTCCAGAGCATATTTCCTTTGGCTCATGACAATTCCATTCTTGGACCTTGCAAATTCTATTCCCAGAAAGAACTTAAGTTCTCATAGATCTTTCATTGTGAACATAAGTTTCAGATCATTTCTAGTATGAGTAATCAGATATAGACTGCATCCACTGATAATCAGATCATCTATATATACCAACACAACAACAAGCTCAACTTTGATCTTCTTTGTAAATAGGGAGTAATCAAAATGACTTTGAGTGAAGCCCAACTGCAGCATGACATCAGTCAGTTTCCTGTTCCATTGCCTGGGTGCCTGCTTCAGGCCATATAATGATCTATGGAGTTTGCAAACCTTGTGAGACCCTCCCTGGCTTGCAAACCCTTGAGGCACATCCATGTACACATCCTCTAAAAGCTCCCCATTCAAAAATGCATTGGGGACATCCATTTGGAAGAGAGGACAATGCTTAGCTGCTGCAGCTGCAATCACTGACATGGCAGTCACCATTTTGGCTACAGGGGAGAAGGTTTCAATGTAGTCAAGCCCTTCCTTTTGACTGTAACCTTTAGCCACCAACCCGACTTTGTATCTTTCACCCTCACCTGAGGCTGTGTACTTCACCTTGAACACCCATTTGCATCCAATGGGCACCTTACTAACAGGTAATTCTACTATAGACCAAGTATGATTGTCCTCTAAAGCTGAAATTTTAGCTTTCATAGCTTCAATCCATTTGGGATCCTTGACAGCTTCAGCATAAAACTGAGGCTCCACAACTGCAGAATAGGAAGACAGAGCTTTGGCATAGGAGTCAGACACATTCTTATAGCTGACATGTTCAGAGAGAGGATATGAGTAGTTAGCTTTGCCTGGTGGTTTGGTGGTGTAATCTTTCAACCATATAGGAGGTTTACTAGGTCTTCTAGATCTTTTAGGAGATGAGGATTTTTCCATAGAATTAACATTAATAGAAGGCTGATCAGTAGACTGAGCATAAGTAGGCTCGACCACTATATCTGACTCAAGCTCAGCAGTTGCTGGAGTGGTTTGGTTTGGGTTGTTGTTAGCTATAGGAGCAGGAGCAATGAGTGCAGTAGATGAAGGAGAGGATATAAAAGGAGATATAAGAGGATAAATAGAGGTAACAACAGGCAGTGACATTTGAGGTATGCCAAGTACAAGAAACAAAGGAGGTAGAAGAGCTGGATGTTGGAAGGAGAAGACATTTTCTTTGAAAAAACATCTCTATTCACCAAGAATTCCTTGGTATGAATGTTGTATATTCTGTACCCCTTCTGAGTCATAGTGTAACCAAGGAAAACAGCTGGTGAGGCTCTAGGTAAAAATTTGTCACCTTTTTTTACATCAGTGGCATATCCTAAACAACCAAAAATCCTCATGTGATCTAAGGAAGGAAAGTGACCAATTAACAGTTCAAAAAGAGTATTTCCTTGCAGCACCTGTGTTGGTAGTTTGTTAATAATATAGACTGCTGTTGATACACATTCCCCCAGAATCTCAATGGAACACCTGCTTGAAACCTCAGTGCCCTAGCAACATTGACTATGTGTCTATGCCTTCCCTCAGCTACTCTATTTTGCTGTGGAGTATAGACACATGAATTCTGATGGACAATACCTAAGGACTGCATCAGTTCTGTCATCTAAGATTTGAAGAACTCACAATCATTATCTGTTCTCAGATATTTCACAGTGGTAGAATAGACATTCTTAACCATAATGAAGAACTGTCTAAGAACAACAATTACCTCAGCTTTAGAAGGCAATAAGAAAATTCAGGTAAATCTGGAGTGATCATCCACTAGTATGAGAAAGTGCCTTTTCGCATCACGAGTAGGGATCCTATAGTGACCCCAAGTATCAGCATGAAGTAAATAAAAATAAGCAGTAGCAAGAGAAGTGCTAAGAGGAAATGAAAGTCTTGTTTGCTTAGCAAGAGAACAGACAGTACACCCCTTAGTCTCACTATTACACTTCAAATGTTGAAAGCAGCTTAACTTTTTCGGAACTTCAATTTTCACATGACCTAACCTCATATGCCATAGGGACACATTTGACCTATCATACTTTATTGTATTTACAAAGGATCTTGATACACCTGACTTTTTATTCTCTCATTCACTTGTTTGCTCTTAGTTGTCTGATATGTAGATGTAGAGACCTTCCTCCTCTTTACCAATCCCCTTCACCTTCCCATTGAAGAGGATCTGGAAAAGGCAGAAGTCAGGTTAGGACAAAGCTAAACACTTAAGCTCCTTTGTTAACTTTGAGACAGACAAAAGATTGTATTTGAACTCTGGTATATGTAACACATTAGTAATTTTCTTGCCTTGAAGGACACTTGCAGATCCTGTATGACTTACACTTGCTATCCATCCTGTAGGTAAGTGTACTTTTCCAATACCAGATTCACCAACAGTCTTAGACTCGTCTAGAACTTTAAGACTCTTTACCATGTGGTTAAAAGCCCCTGTATCAACTATCCACCTAATTTCAGCTTCAGTAACTACAGAGGGCGAGATCATACATGCAGACGTAGCATTACTGGGTTGATCACCTTGACTAGTAGAGGTGACATTGGACTTACCTAATAGATGAAATATCTGATTATATTGATCAATTGTGAATTAAGAGACTCCTGCAATTACTCCTTGACT